GGTACCATGGCTGCATAGGCCATTGTGGTACTACGACTTTAGCTTTGTCGTGAATAATTTTTTGCAATGTTTTTAAAACAACTGAAAAGGGTGGAAAGGCGTAGAAAAATACATCAGACCACGATATCGTATACGCATCGACAGCCACAGAATCTGGATCTGGTTTCCAGGAAACATATTCTTTGCATTTAGAGTTTTGTCTTGTAGCAAATAAATCAATTTGTGGTTGACCAAAAACATGAACGATATCCTGATAAGAAGTATCATTTAATTGCCATTCAGTATCAACATTTGTAACTCGAGATAGTGTATCCGCCTCAATATTTTCTTTCGTATTTATATAAGAAGCAAACACGACAATCTTATGAGATTCGCACCATTGCCAAATTGATTTTGCAATTACATTCAAATGAGGGTATCTAATACTTCCCATTTTATTAATGCAGGATATTGCAGTAATATTATCAATACGAAGTAATATTTCACAATCGCACAGGCTTTTAGTGTACATTTTTAGGGCATAAAAGGCCGCTTTCAATTCTAATACATTAATATGATTTTGTTTTTCATTTTCTTGCCAGTGACCATAAGCTCTTTTACCGGCACAGAAAGCACCCCAACCACTAATAGAAGCGTCTGAGAAAATTTCTAGTTTGAAATCGTTAAATCTCAATGGTTGATATCCTTTATCTATATTATCAAGCCACCATTTGTAATCTTCCCTTAAAGAATATGATAGACGAATAATTTGTTTATAGGAATCATCTTCCAATAAATTCAAGTATTTGTGTCTTTCAAATTGCTTTATATATAGCCTGGAGTACTCTATAGCGGGACAAGCAGATGATAAAATACCAATAAATTTAGCAAATTCACGTAATTTGCAAGTTTTTAAATTTATAAAATTATGCAAAATATTTTTTATCTTTTTTTGCTTCAGATAACTTTAAAATCATATTTTTAGAATCGAATATAAATCCTAAAAAAATACACCCATTACTGGGTATCATTTGACTTTTCTCATGATTTATTATAAAACCTAGTTTTTGTGGTAATTCTTTAGTAAAAAGATATTATTTTGACATTCTGAGTAGCATTTGCCTAGGCAAAGAATATCATCTAAATAAATTACTGAAATAGTATATTTTGTTGAACGTAAGAATTCCATTACTGGTTTGAGTATTTTGGTGAATACAAAAGGAGCCGAAGAAAGTCCAAATGGTAGGCAATTAAACTGATACAAAATATGATTAAAATTGAATTTTAAATACTTTCTATGGTCTTTATAAACTGGAATAGAAAAATAAGCATCCTGTAAATCTATTTTTGCCATATAGCAATTTTTTGTAATTAATTTTATTGCCGTTCTATAATCTCCTCCATTTTAAAATGTGACGTACATACAAATTTATTTAAACATTTCAAGTTTAAAATGAATCTATGATCGCCATTCGGCTTCTGAATTAGGAAAACGCTAGATACGAACTCTTCTTTCTCATGATTACACACTGAGATAGCCCCACTTCGAAGTGAAGCATTAATTGCTTTTTCGAAATGCACCTTCTCAGCAGCAGATTTTGGTAAAGTATTAGGACAGTCACGTCGTGTAGGTTTGCTTATAAAAGGTATTTTGTACCCTTGAATCCACGATAATAATGTATGATTGTCAGTTATATCAGCCCAATTATCATAAAATTAAGAAAGGCGACCTGCAAGAACCTCTTTATCTATGTTCGTCGGGGCGGACGGCGCTGCGGAGGCGGCGAGCGCGGCCGAGCAGATGATGTCATCGTCTTGATGGTTGCAGCACGCGTCGTCATTCCGTTCCCGCGTTTCGACGTCTTCCTGCATCCGGTTTGCCGCTTGTCTTCCGTTGCAGGGCCCTCGTGTTTGAAGACTTGTGTCTATAAAAGTTAGCTTTATTAAATTTTAAATTCATTGGTGTTGTTTTAAGTCAGCTCCGGATTTATGTATGTTTTAGCAGACTTTAATTTGTCGCATATATTATCACCAAAAAGATATTTATCTCTTTTCGTTTCGAACAAGGTATCTTTAAGATTTGAATTTGTAGCAGCTATAGCTAAGTTCCTTCTTATCTTTGTTTCGTTAAAGTGTAAGTCACATAATATGCGACATGCATCACTGACTGATTTAAGAATTTTAGGATCACCTCCCTTAATTATAAGCAATTGCATGGCTTGGGCGAGAGCAGCGATTGCAACACCAATATGTTTTTGTTTTTCCGTCAAAATATTATCTCTTTTAACCAATGCATCAGAAAGCGCCGCTTTTACCTCCGGGTTTAAAAGCGGCGGCACTAAAAGTTCGCAGTTGCCGGATATAAGGTGTTCTTTAAAAAGCGTTTCTTTAACTTCTTTTGGGAGACCTTTTGAGAAAACTTCTTACCAACGATCGGCAATATTTTTATGAAAATTTGGACCCATTTCAATATCTGTTTTCGGAGGGTCTCCCAATAGTTGTAAGATTTTGTCGTCTAACTGAGATTCTGGCGGGTTATCTGTCGCTGCTGAGGACGTAGAAGCTACAGGATTGTTTAGTGCTGATGAAAAAAACTGTATCTGCAGTTTCGGTGAATGGCATCGGAGTGTTACGTCGATCGGTTGTAACAGGATCTGCAATCGTATAGGTAGTTGATATATACATACAATCTGGTTCGCATGCAATAGACTAAAACCGTATCATGTATGTAGGTAGTTTTAGTGCACATCTGAGTTATTATGATAACTTATGTGACAGGGAAAGCCCTGGTGGCCCACCCATATCACTCGTATGACAGTAACCTGTACTGTTCATGTTTATCATAAGACAGATATTACTGTGTATAGTGCAAATGTGACAAGGAGAGCCCTGGTGGCTAACCCGCATCACTCGTGCGTACAGTAATATGTATCGTTTACGTTTGTCATGCAACATACATTATTGTACATAGTACAAATGTGACAGGGAGAGCCCTGGTGACTAACCCGCATCACCTATGATGTATGAATTCATCATAATAATTACATGTTTATCAAAACAGGAATAGCCCCGGTGATTAGTTCACATCATTAAGGTGCGTATTTATTGCACTAGTTAATTACTCTTTATATTTATATGACAGAATTAGGCCTGATGACTAACCCGCATCACTCAGTTATGTAATTCATCGAACACAAAGTGAACAAAGTTAACTTGTACTGAGTAGAGGGTAGTTATAAAACTATTTCCACATACTAAAAGTATCTTAGTTATATGACTAATGTAGCATATTTAAAAGGGCTTTTATATTCACTTTAATATTTTATTTGAACTCGAACTCACCATTTGTTTCATCCTCAGAAGAAGAACTCGATATGATACGACGTCGACACTTTTTTTATTTAACTTTGCCTCTAATTTCTTAATCTTCCCACGAATCATACACACATCTTTATCATTTTTTCTTTTACCCATTGTTATCTTCGATGGATTATAGCGTAAGAACAAAATAATATTCGAACGCAGCGTGTAAAGGCTATGACACGAAAATACAGAATCAAAAGAATAATACCCTATGAGAACTTTTTTTTCTCTTTAAATATTCGTGTGAAGGCTGTTGCGTGGAGACATAGCTACAATATGTAATATAGAATAAATCGCTAAGAATGAAGCTGCGAAATATAATTGTTTCAGAGCCCTTTTTATCAAGTAATAATCAAGTATTTCCTTTTTAAAATCTTGGTATTGGTGACTTAATAAGAAAGATAAATAACCGTGTCAATAGTTTACACCATGTTTTTAAGTAATATTATTCATATTCTTTAAGACAATCCCCGTGGTTCACACGCCGGTTTCAAGGTTTCTCCTAGGCAAGCTTTTCAGTCGGGCCCTATGAACAAAATTAGCTTTTCTGTATTGTGTTTTGTCTCGGTGGTGTGGTCCATTGTTGTTTCAGATTTCCATTATACAAGGTCTTGCAAGTTTGGGATACAAATATGTGTACCTTAAATTTATGTATATTATAAAGAAAGTAATATTATAAAACGGAAAATTTTTATTGTTTAGGAAAGTCGCGGTAGAAAGTTCTCGTAACAATTTTCTAATCGTAAATTAATTACATATAAATAAATGGAAACTACCGAAGTAGTTGTCGATTTATACGTAGCACATTTTTTTCCCTGAATTTCCCGGATGCCTGAGTTTCTATCACAATTTCTGGTATTTCTATATTTTTTTTTTTGGTATTGTGCCCTGTGTTGTATTGTAATTGTTATTAAAACGTATATTGATGTTAACACGAATTTCATAACTTTACAGTTCTAATAACGCGACGTCTACACCTCAGAATGTCATCATTTGCTAATATACAATCGCTGGCATTAAATCTGCCGTCCACCTCGGCAGCTACGGCCAGCGTCGTATCCAGCAACAGCTCCAACGAACCAGAGCAGTCACTCTCCATGTCACCATGTTCTGAGATCAGTGCATTGCCCTCCAACAGAGGCACGCCTGATTCCATGAACACTACACACTGTGATTATGTAACGGCAAAAAATAACGACAGTAACCAGGACATGCCTCCACAAGAAGATATCTCTAACGGCTCCACTAGCACATCCTCTACGGTGTCCATGAGCTGTTTTCACTGCGTACAATGCTTACCGACAATGCGTTGCCTCGAATGCAATGCCCTTTTTTGTGACGCTTGTAGCCCCAAACTCAAATCAGACGCTCAGTGGCGAGAACACGATCTTTACCCAATACATCAACTACCGCCTATTGGTGTTAGGCCTCTTTCCGTCAACATGGTTTGTGAATCCCACAGCGATTTAATGAGTTATTATTGTAAAGAATGCACTATTTTTATTTGCATAAAATGTACATTATCATTTCATAAGGAGCATAAGTATACGTCGATAAAAGGTACTTTTGATATATGTCGCGTAGATCTTATTAAGGCAATAGAATGTACGAGAACTGGCAAGAAAATAATGAACATTGCAATCGACCGTGCAAATACCATGTCAAAAACTTACAACAATGAATGTTCCGAAGTGAAGGAGAAAATAGAGACTACTATGCGGCTGTATACTGAAGCAGTTGAAAATAGTGAAACATATTTTTTGGATAAGGTAGAGAAAATGCGTAAGTCGAAGATAAACGAGTTGAATCAATATATGAATACACTGCGTGGTATGCTCGCCGGTTTATCTCGTATAAGTGAATTGATAATACATAGCATGGATTCCGACGGAAAAAATTTGTTTATGATTAAAGAAAAGGGCAAATATGAGGTACATTTATTTTCAACTATGTTCAAGAATATGCAGGTGAAGGAGGAGCGAATTTTGTTTAACTCCCCGAACTGTCACTTAATAGACCAATTAGGGCATTGTGATGTACAACGGATTTACCCGACTTCCGGTCAAATAGACAACTCTGATTCCCATCAAATTTTAATGGCAATGCAGTCCTTGCTGGCAGGTCAATCAACAATTTGTCTTCCACGCAGTATTGGACAAGCCATTCCAGGTTGTTGGAAGTCGGTATCCGTAAAGCCAACTAGTAGCTTACGCCTTGGAGAGCCTATGTTTTCTTTTGGTCGTGAGGGACCAAACGAAGCCGAAATTGCTAGACCGTGGGGTTTATGTGTAGATAGAGAAGGCAATGTCATAGTTGCCGATAGACGCAATGACCGTATTCAAATATTCAGTAAGGATGGTGAATTTAAAAGCATGTTCGGTTCGAAAGGCGATGGCCCTGGTCAATTTGACCTCCCATCTGGTATAACAACTGACATATTTGACAGAATTATTGTTGCAGATAAGGATAACCACAGAATCCAAATATTTACAATGGTAGGAAAGTACATCCTCCAGTTCGGGTCATTTGGTAAAAAATGTGGACAGTTTCATTACCCATGGGATGTAGCTACAAATACCTTAGGAAACATTGTTGTGACTGACACGCGTAATCACCGAATTCAACTATTTACAACCGACGGGATTTTCGTCACCCAATATGTATTTGAAAGTCCTAACTCAACCACAATGTTGAGGGGTCCAACAATTCCGAGAGGTGTAAGCTTCACAACGTTTGGCAACATAGTAGTAACCGATTTTGAGAACAATCGTATAATAATGTTAGATTCAACTCTATCAAAAGTTCTACATTGTGCAGAGTCTGAAGGTTTCAGTACTGGTGAGCTCAATCGTCCATCAGGCGTTGCGATCGATGATGAAGGTCGGATTATTGTAGCAGATTCAAAAAATTATCGTGTAGTCCTGTTTACTTCGCAACTCCGTCGTCTGTCTACTGTGAACTTCAAGAGTACAGACTTCGACAAAGACAGACCGAGTGACGTTGCCCTAACTTTAGAGGGTCATTTAGTGGTATTGTTTGAATCTCGGCCCTTTCCAGACACGGCTTATAATATCTCTACTAACTTTTCCCCGGATTTCTCGTACAAACGTTATATCAAAATATATTCATAAGTTCATAATTATTTATTAGGTCTAAGATCCGTATTATATTTTTGTTAAGTTGTTATTTCTTAAGTTATATGCATTTTTTTTTAAACGTTTGGCATGAATAATTCCAATAGAGCATAACTTAGCTGCAGAAGGAGCATTTAATTTCTTTAAGTTCCCATAATACGTTACTGTTTCAGTTTTCAATTAGTTTTCGAGGACCATACTTTCCTAATTAAATTTGTATAAAACTAGAGCATCTTACAATTTTAAGAGCTACGTCATGTCATTCATCAGAAAATATCGAATAACTATTTCCTTAAATACATTTATCAAATAGGTACTTTAATATAACGTCGATTATACCTTAGGTTATCTATTTAACTATTTATATTTTCAATAAATAAAAGAATTATTATCAAAAAAATATTCTTTTATAAAAATCATGTTCAATCAATACTTTAATTTTATAACACTTTAATTTAATATAAGAAATTTTACTGCACAATAAAAACTTACTTTTCTACATATTTATTTGTTTAACCTTAACGGTCAGTAATCAGATTCCCGTGTAAGCAATGTTATCGTTTGTAAGGTGCTATATCTAGAACTTTTTGAAATATTTTAGGAAATTTGTATGAAAACTAATTAAATGAACCTTAGAAAAAAGATTTTTTTATTTCAACATCCCCCTTGTACATTTTATATTTTCGTATAGGTATGTACTTACATTACGAAATAAGTCATTCATTACCTACCCAATTATTTATATGCATTACCTACTATGTATTTTCCAGCGACTTCGCCCGCGTAAATTATAGCATTTGTCCGCCGCGTATGATGTAGTTACCGTAGGTGAAAGAATTTTCTTTATCGGATCAGTATTTCAGAAGAATCAGTATTTGTTTGTAGGGGGGTACCCTACAAACAAACAAAGTTAGAAACTTTAAGTCTATAGTATTAGTAAAGATTATTATAAACTTCACAGACATAGCAGTGTAGGTAAATGGTAATCAGTTTTATCCGAAATTCGAATACGATATTAACAACAACTCAATCTTAAAAATACACTCAATGGCTGGTATACATGTAATTAAGTAGATTTTTTACTTAAAGTGATTAACTACATGTAAACACACAAATAATTAGTAAGTTTAATAAATAAATAAAATTTAGTTAACCAGTTATTTAACTTGCTACTTATTCATTATTTGTGTTTACCATGATTGATCATTTTTTAAATCAAGCAAAAATGTACTTACTATTTATTTATTTCATTACGTGTTTACGATATATCTTAGTAAGTACAAAGTTTAACGTACGAAACCCTTTCTGTTCGGTGATCGTCCCATAGCTATATGTTTCACAAGTTAAAGCGTTTTGGAATCAACCATCTCGACAATATCGTGAACCCATTAAAGTCTCCACTGTTCGGGCACAGGCCTCCGTTGTTGATTGAATCTAATCGAATAGAATTGACTATAACTCACTAAGCAAGCCATGAAGAAGGACCATAATATTTTTTTTAGTCACTCATCTAAATACATAATTATATAAAAGGAGATATCCTGACTGACTGACAGATAACGCACAGCCTAAACCACTGGTCGTAGAAACTTGAAATTTGGAGGGAACATTCCCCTTAATACGTAGAGGTGTACTAAGAACGGCTTTTTTGGGAATCCCATCCCGAAGGGGGTCAAAAAGGGTGAAAAACTTTGGCGGAAACTTCTTTGTTTATGGACCTATATCGATGAAAATTGGTATTTGGTTAGTTTATGATACTAGGAAGGTAATAGATTATATTTTATCTCGAAAATTAGCACTTTAAGGAATAAAAATGGGAGTAAAAGATTTTATGAGGAATCAAAATGTTACCATAGCAAACGTTGTTTACAATCTGATTTATATAATTTTTAAAGATATTTTATTGTATAGCCATGAAAACTGGTATATGAGTAAATATTTCATTTTTTAAGTTTTAATGCATAAAAACATTAAAATTCAAGTAATTTTGTTAACGACAAAAAAAATATTTTTATATTATATATATATGAACTACGCTAGATGGCGTTAAATGAATTCTAAATCGCAGATTTTTTGCCTAGAAAATTTACCTAGAATAACTTTTCAGCCAGTTGATAGCGAGCATATTCTAAATCGCGCTATTATTTTGATCAAAGAACTTTGCACTCCCATTTAATCAAGTAGCTTAAGATCAGTGAGATAAATAGGCTATTTCTATAGTTTATGGAAATGTTTTTAAATTTTTAAAATAAATAAATTCACATTTAGAGTCTAATAAAAAATATTTCATTGTTTGTGGAACTAGTCGCGTAGTGGATAAACGCCGCGGCCCGCGGTCGTTGTAATTAAGCAACTTTCGTAAAGGCCAGTCACGGGATGTGTGACCTAAAAATTAGTATCTCAAGCTACTTTGCGTGATTTGGAAGGCACGTAAAGCCCGGAAGCAAATGCAGTCGTTAATACCTTCCAATCTGCATTGGGCCAGCGTGGAAGGTCATGGCGCATCCGCTTTATCACCATCTAAAACGAAGACCTGCGCCCTTGCAGTAGGGAGTTAAAAGGGCTGATGGAATAATATTTCTATTTACAGTTCAACATATATATTTTCTTCAATAAACGACTTATTACATTATATATCGTGGCCATATCGTAGAATTGATGATTTTAGGATCCGGCAGGCCATTTTATCATAGCATTGAAGCGTCAACGTTAAATGATATGTCAATCCACGTTTGGTCATATCATTATTCCAAAAAAGAAATCTAATTATTTGCTGAAATACCTTATTTATTCGTTTGAGTTATGATTTTGTGGTCTGAAAAAAAAAACAATCTCGTAATTTAATACGATCGCTACGCGACGTTTCCTGATTGTCTTAAATATCTAACCTATCACCTTAAGCAGTGAATCATATAAGAACTTAAGTTCAGTTCATATCTCATAAACTTTTATGTTCTCCAATATATTTTTTCAGCCTCTGGAGCTAGGTCACAATCCTGTCTTTAGCATAACCTACGACATTTCCATAAACTATAGAAATAGCCTATTTATCTCACTGATCTTAAGCTACTTGATTAAATGGGAGTGCAAAGTTCTTTGATCAAAATAATAGCGCGATTTAGAATATACTCGCTATCAACTGGCTGAAAAGTTATTCTAGGTAAATTTTCTAGGCAAAAAATCTGCAATTTAGAATTCATTTAACGCCATCTAGCGTAGTTCATATATATATAATATAAAAATATTTTTTTTGTCGTTAACAAAATTACTTGAATTTTAATGTTTTTATGCATTAAAACTTAAAAATGAAATATTTACTCATATACCAGTTTTCATGGCTATACAATAAAATATCTTTAAAAATTATATAAATCAGATTGTAAACAACGTTTGCTATGGTAAAATTTTGATTAGTGTTGCCCAAATTCAGTCTTGGTCTTGCAGTCTTGGTCTTGGTCTTACATTTTTGCAAGACCAAGACCAAGAACAAGACCGCGTATTTTTGGCAAGACCAAGACCAAGACTGACCATGCAAGACTTGAGCAAGAACAAGACTAATCCCGCAAGACTCTTGCGTCTTGCAGCTAGGACTTAGCGCTATTTCACGGAGTAGTAAGGAATAACAGTTCGGTGTATAGGTACGCTTAGGAATTCTATGAGACGCAAAAAACTGTATCAAAGAATATGAAAAACTGGACCTATGCGCATTACGACCAATACCTACCATAAGCATACATAGCGAATAAAAAAATATCCATTAAAATCAAACAGAGCGCATGCATAGTTTTGTTTTAACCATCGGCACTTTGATAATGCGGCATCAAAGGTTTTGTACTGACTTCTCAAAGAAATTTGCCGCTTTTCGGAAGTACATGATACACGCGGCGGCAGCTTCTTTTGAAATCACATACAACAATCGGTGCTGCCGCGCCGAAATCACAACATTTGACACTAATTGATTGCCGCCACAGGGCCTAGGTATAGTTTTAAGAGCACAGGTGTTCCAAAGAATAAATAAGTTTCAGTGTGCTTAGAATGGAAACGAATACATTATACTGATCACGCAAGTAGTCTTATGATTAGATAACGGTAAGGATAGGTAGTAGATGTCATAATAATTTATTCTAGTAAGTATATATTATAATATTGATTATATGGGTTTAAACTAATTACTTAGGTACTATTATTGTACATTTAGTCAAATATATCTTAAATTTCTTAATTTTTTACAAGAAAAAATAGCAAAAAAGTGTTCAAATATCACCCGTTTGATAAATATTGTAGCCACTTTTAAACATACTTGAAACGTGTAAAAAAAATATACAAAACTAATAAAATAATATAAAAAGCGTACCTACCTACTTTTAAAATAAAAAGCCTGCGATCGGATTTTTGTATTGCTTATGAGCCCGAATATCTCTGAGGGAGATGATGAGAGTAAGTATTTACTAGCAGTACCCGCGACTTCGTCCACGAGGAATAGTAACTTTGGAGGTATAGTGACGTTCAGGATTTATTTATTTATTTTAAAACTTCTGTCATCAAACATACAAACAAACTCTTCAGCTTTATAATATTAGTATAGATGTACGACAAAAAATTCACTTATATGTAAAGAATAGTGATTGGTACAATGTCACGCATCTGTACAAGTAGGTATAAATCTGTGTTTGTACGCCGCACGCGGTATCGTTTGATTTGCGGCGACATCCCTTGAATAGAGCCGGCACGTGCCGTGTTGGCTTGGTAGAAAGCAAGGAAATGTACTATAAAAAAAGGAATTATTTTAATTCCAGTCATTTTTAATTAAGCTGTGCTTCGAGTCTAACGTAATAATAGTTTTTACTAAATTCTTGTTGTTTTCGGAAAACGTATCCCGTCTACAGTTTAATATGAGTGACGAAGATTCAAATTGTTCTAGTCCGAGTAATGAGAGTTTGAGTTACAGATCTAAAAGACTCAAAAGCAAATTTGAGGAGTTTTTCGAAATAATTCATGCATCCCAAACTGCCTTGTGTAAATTGTGCCAACATAAAAAGTTGAAATAAAAATGAAAAACAGAAACACTTCAGGCTTAAGGAAACATCTAATATCTTTCCACAAAAAGGAATCACAAATATTTCTTCCTGTTAAACCAAAATTAAGCGGAGATATCGCAAGCTTTTTCGTAACTGCTGGAAGAAGTGGACAGGTAAGAATAAAACTTATCTTACAATTACATAACACATATTATCGTGTTAAATATTTTTTTATAAAACACCCATATTTTCATTTGTTTTCATAATCGGCCTGTAACAACTAAGTACTTTATTTTGATTTACTGATTTGATTACAAGATTTATTGTTTTATTTCAGTCGAACAGTAGTGACAACATCACGATAGCTACAGTTGATTGGGTGGTGAAAAAATATCTTCCCTTCTCATTTTTCGATGACGAAGCTACACAAGTATATTTTCGACGTATTTGCCCGAATATGGTGTTTCCTAAAAGGTCCACACTTAGAAGGAAAGTCAAAGAGCGATTTGAAGAGCTCCAATTGAATCTCAAGGAACGACTTCAACAATTATCATCTAAAATGTCGTTTACCATTGATGGGTGGACGTCAATTGCTGGTAGGAGTTACTACGGGGTTACTATGCATTATATAGACAACGAATGGAAGTATCGATCTGTAGTTCTTGATTTTATACCATCACGCGGTCGACATACTGGGGAAGATATTGCAACGATTTTCCACGAATGTTTATTGGAATATGACATAATTGATAAAATACAAGGTATCACGGTCGACAACGCAACTGCAAATACCAAATTTATGTATGAATTAGGCAAACAGCTGCCACCACACTTTGATTCAGACAATCAACATTTCCGGTGCTTTGCTCACATTTTAAACCTTGGTGTACAAGATTTATTAAAGATTAAAGATTAGCATTACACTGTTAGACTGAAACTGACGCGCAAGATCAGCAGTATGAAGACTATGCAGACGAAACTGAGGAAGATGAAGAATATGCACCAAATATTACTGACTCGCGTACATCTGTAACAAAGTTACGCAGTATTTCCAGTAAAATAAAAAGAAGTGAAATAGTGAAGAAGAAGTTTCAGTCTACTTGTGAAGCAGCTGGCGTGTCATCAAATCTGAATCCCATTCTTGACTGTCCAACGAGATGGAATTCCACACATGATATGATTGGATTTGGTTTAAAAGTGAGAGCGGACATTAACATATTGTGCAGTTCTGTCACCGAATTGAAAGATTTTCAAATCACAGATAGTGAATGGCAAATACTCGAAAAAATACATAAGTTTCTAATAAACTTTAAAGTTTTAAGCACGAAAATTGGTGAAGAAAAATATGTTACATTACCGCTAGTCATTGTATCATTCAATCTCTTGCTCGATAAAATTGAATCCATGGTAAAACAGTTAGATGAGAAACCTAATCGATCTGAAGTGGATGAAAGGCTCATTCTGGCTTTCCAAGCAGCTCGAGACAAAATACTTAAACATTATAAGAAGAGCAACTGGATTTATTGTACTTCTTTAATTTTAGACCTAAGGCATAAGGCTCAGATTATTGACTTGACAATATGGGGGAAGCAACTTAAAATAGAAAGCCTGCGCAAGTTCAATGAACTTAATGAAGAATACTACAGTCTACACTCACTGAACAAATCTCTGGAATTACCAAGAAAAGAAAATAAGGTATGTGATGAAGATGAAAACGTAATAGACTTTGTTAAACTGTATGAATGTCCCTCGACGTCATCTGGATCTTGTCTTCAAGGCTTACTGATAGACGAGTTGAAGTACCTGAGAAAACCAAGAGCTGCCAGCTCGGAAGACATTTTAGATTGGTGGAGGATGCATGAGACAGAGTATCCGACTTTATCGAAGATGGCCCGTGATTTACTCTCAATAACTGCAACTTCAATACCTGCTGAGAGATTATTTTCTAAAGCATCATTAGTAATTAAAAACATAGAAATAGCTTAAGTGATGAGTCAGCAAGATCAAGACCAGGTGTATTGGCGCAAGACCAAGACCAAGACTGGCCAAGTCTCGTCTTGTTCTTGCATTTGGGCAACACTAATTTTGATTCCTCATAAAATCTTTTACTCCCATTTTTATTCCTTGAAGTGCTAATTTTTAAATTTATTATTTAAATTTTTCAATTCAATTTATTCATTTCAAAGAACTTTGATACATAATCATTAATATTAATAACTATTTATCTTTTTCAGAAAGACATTTCAGAAAAACATTATATTTATAAATATTATAAATATATATTATTAATATTACATAACTCACATCTTTTATAAATTCCAACACGCCAATACAAAAAAAAAAGATCTCTGTCATCTGTAATGGTGTCAACGCATATTCGCCTCTCCAAAACCAAATAAATAATAAATCGCTGTACTAAAAATATAATAAAATAAAGGTGCTCAAAATAGTGTGAAGTGTGTGAACTATTGTAAAGAAATTTGAAACAAGATAAGAAAAGGAGTACGACCAGAGTCCTATGGAAAATATTTCACATGTTCATCTTCCAATGCGCTCCTCACGCTTAAAACCACTTTTTGTTCCTCCGCGATTCCGTAGAATATACTCGTGCAACTCATTTCTCACTTCTCACTCATTCACCCGTATCTATGTATCCATAGACATTTTTAAAATATCGCTTCAGAAATTGAAATGTATTCTTTTGGAAATTCCAACGAGCAAATTATATCGAACAAACCTTATTATATAAGTATGTATAAATATACACTGGACCGCAAAGAAAACGGGTCGGTTAGAAAATCTTCAATAACTTGAAAACTACCTCACCTAGCTTTAAGAAATAAAAACTCAGTTAAAGAATATTTAATGTTATTTACATACACATAGTACATAATATATAAAACCTTTATATTTACTTTAGATAATTGTGTAAGAAAACTGGCAACGAAGATAATGGTTGTTTTTAAATTTAGTACTAAAAAAATCAAAGCATTTGTTTCGCATTTGTTTTAGTTTTGACATAAAAACTACAATAAATATCGTGTGTTTGTCATACAAAAATTGTATTCTGAAGTCATCATGTCGTTAACCCCTGAAGAATGCTCCAGGATCCTGACAATGCTTGAAAATGGGCGCAGTCAGCGCAATACAGCGAGAACTGTTGGTGTGAGTCTTTCCACAGTTCAGCGGGTACTCCAGCGTTTCCATGAAACTGGATCCAACCTAAGAAGACCAGGAACAGGCCGAACGAGGTGCACGACTGCGCGGGAGGATCGCTATATGGTGTCAACAATTTTGAGAAATCGATTTCTTACGGCCGTTGAGGTAAAAAATCATCATTTACGAGCTGGAGGAAACTATCTGAGTACAGATACAGTAAGGCGACGTCTGGCTGAAGCAAATTTGAGACCATTAAGGCCTGCAAATGGCCCATTAGAAAGACACCACTTAAACTCAAGGCTGAGTTATAGCAGAGAACACGAAACTTGGACTCTGGATAACTGGTCAAGAGTTATGTTTTCAGACGAGTCTAGATTCTGTTTATACAAGCACGATGGGAGGAAAAGAGTGTACCGAAGACCGAGAGAGCGCTATAACCAAGCTTGTATAGAAGTAAAAGTACCATATGGCGGTGGCTCTATACACGTGTGGGCTGGGATTTCTTCCGAAAGCCGTACTGAGCTAGTAGTGATAGAAAATGGCAGTTTAACAGCAGAACGATATGTGAATCAAATTCTTAATGACTATGTTGGTCCATTTTTAGTAGATATGGGCGAAAATGCTGTTTTTATGCAAGACAACGCCCGCCCGCATACAGCTCAGATAGTGTTCGACTATTTTCACGAAGTAGGTATCACATGCATGGAGTGGCCAGCACGAAGCCCCGACTTAAACCCCATCGAACATGCATGAGACGAACTGGGACGTCGTGTACGTCAACGGAATCCGCCGCCAATCACGCTGCGTGAATTGAAAGGAGCTGTGATCGAGGAATGGCAGAACATTCCGCAGCATCGCCTTAAAAACCTTGTGGAAGGTATGCCGAATCGCATAGCCGCAGTTTTGCAAGCTCGTGGAGGCAACACGAAATACTAACATGCGTAAAAACGTCACATCTTTATACAATTCATATTTACGAAAATGTCAGAAAAACTACCTTTTTCATTCGTTTGACATTTATTGAAAATAGACAACTTTTAATTTGTATTTTTTTATATTCAATAAATTACAATTAAATAATCTTTAATTTAGTTTTTATTTCATAAAAATAAGTTAAGTAGTTTTCAGGATATTGACGATTTTCTAACCGACCCGTTTTCTTTGCAGTCCAGTGTATGTGTGTATGTATACTTAGTGATATATCGTATATACATTAATAAAAAAATGGTATTGAGTCTATTCAGTATCACTTATCACAATTTGTTAAGCACTAAATATAGCCTTGTCGGACTATTTTATACAATCCTATTTTCCTTTTTTTTTGCTTTGTTTATTCTTTTGATTTTATCCAGTGTTGTTAACTTAAGTACACACATAAGTATTTATAGTTGTAACACGTAATAGGTACTATATTATTGTCCTCCTTACGTTGTTGTTCACTCAAATTTGTAAAACAAAATTGTAACTCTTGAATTTGAAAAACATAGGATCTCAAATTATATTATTGTTAAGAATTGGTAAAATTATAGACGCTATATGTCTATTATGATTTCAACGAATAACATTTTTTTTTTCAATGCAGTTGTTCACTTGAACACTGAAAGTGAGTCTTTAAACACGTGTTAAATAAAAATGTACTAAAATCCTTTACTGCACACGTGCTTAAAAGTATTTTTTTAATTTAAAAAAATACAACAAATATCCAATATGTTTCAACACTTTATCTTTGAAAACTTTAGGGATATTAATCCAATCAATGGATGAACATGAGAAATATTTTCCATAGGACTCTGGTCGTACTCCTTTTCTTATCTTGTTTCAAATTTCTTTACAATAGTTCACACACTTCACACTATTTTGAGCACCTTTATTTTATTATATTTTTAGTACAGCGATTTATTATTTATTTGTTTTTGGAGAGGCGAATATGCGTTGACACCATTACAGATGACAGAGATCTTTTTTTTTGTATTGGCGTGTTGGAATTTATAAAAGATGTGAGTAATGTAATATTAATAATATATATTTATAATATTTATAAATATAATGTTTTTCTGAAATGTCTTTCTGAAAAAGATAAATAGTTATTAATATTAATGATTATGTATCAAAGTTCTTTGAAATGAATAAATTGAATTGAAAAATTTAAATAATAAACGGCGCAGATATTACATACATAAGAGTTAAATAGATATATATTTTTTTAAATAAGCTAAAAATGGAGACTTCATTTCTTTATAAATTCGAATAAAAATATGATAATTTTGACATGTATATTAAAAAAAAACATCTTATGATAATTTTTCTGTCCTTTCAATACGTGTAGTATTGCAGTTATTCAATTTTAATTTCTATCTGAATGTTAAAATAACAATAAATATTACTATTATTATAATAAGTATGATTATTGAGTTTTTAGCAAATTAAAGTCGTTGAGGCGGCGTGAAAACGGCCAATTTAATCCGGTGAATGAAGAAAGAAAAGTTAGTTCTTGAAGGCAAACTAGAGGTCACTAGCGATTTTGGGATTTTGGGAAAATGTAATAAAAGTAAATTGGGTGTCGTAAAGTTTGCACGGTTTTTATAATAAATACAATGAATTGCACTCACACATCCGTTGATTCAAACAAAAGTTTTAGGATTTTGTCATAGAAACCTTTAATACTTTCTTACCTTTTGTCCGTAAAAAGGTTCAGGTACGTAGGCAGGTCAAATAATCCCATGTGTAAAATGTGTAAGACCGTTATTGCCCTTTTGTTTATTTCTTCATAACGTTGCTTTGAAAGAAATAAAAAAAATATTGACCTGCTTAAATTATGACATCTCGACTAAAGATTCGAGTGTCAAGAATCTTTAAGCTGGAACTTTTTAACTCACAAATTGTATCTGATTGTTTGGAGTGAGAATCATTCAATAAAACAATATCATACCGTATTTTTTTATATTTGTACATGTAACCCACTTTTGTTGTTTTGCTCACTGTAAGGTCCGACAACCCCTGAAGATGTTCCGTGGAAAGGCAAAACAGATAGTGGTGATTTTGCGAGATTTGCTGCCGTTTGTACATGCGGATTTGCGTGCGGGCTGTGTCAAGCAGGAAGTTGCTAAATGTCATAGTTTTATTGCTAAACAAAGTTTTCTACTGGAAATTGGGCGAATAATATAAATAATATTCTCAAAGAACGTTTTTACGTTACTTTTGTAAAGCATAATTATTAAATAACTAGCTTTTGTCCGTGACGTCGTCCGCGTGGTATAGTTACTTTGGGCATCATATATTTTTCAAAAACGCAGTTTTTGTTCGAGTTGATGGTGAAATTTCCTTGATATTTAAGTTCGAAGATACTACAACAAAAAAAAAAACAAATATTCAATCTATTTTAGCACTTAATCTTTGAAAGATAATTATCCAATTCAATGCAATTTGAAATACAGATGGAAAAACAGTTCTGAAGTTTAAACACACTAAATCGAAATCATAATCTACGCAAATAAAAAGAAATTATTAATTATTAGCTGAAATAGCTTGTTTGTTGTCCGGAAGCCCAAAGTCGATCGGAGATTTTGAAGAGCTGACTCGAGTGCACGCCACGTGAAATTTTATAAATTTAATTATTTGCTAAAATAGGTTGTTTATTCGATATTTATATATGATCACTTACTCTTGGACACATCATGAAGAAGTCATACTATCAGCCGCAAATCATTAATGGATTTGGCCAGGCCACATCATGATGTGGGCTGCGGGATTTTTCCATTTCATAAAATACAAACATTTCATAAAATGGCTTTCCGCATCATGAATTGGTTAACTCTACGTTCTTCTGGCCACGACATATATACTTGGAGACCTATACTAAGGTGCTTACATAAAATGAATAAAAAATGTAATAAAATAGTTAATTATAAGTTGGTTATAAGCTTATAATAATGATGTTGTTGAAAAATAATCAATAACGTTGATCGCGCAGACATAAGTTGCGCCAAGTCGCTGCAACGCAATGACCACATTGTTTTTCATGCACTTTTATTATAAACATAAACTAAGAA